TATAATAACTTTTTTGACATACCATTTCTGGACAAGAAGCTTAGAGATGGATATTCTTAACTTAGTACAGGAGTGCACTCTTTGATAGTTGTGGTCACACCTCCTCCAGCAAAATATTTCTGACACCTAGTCATGAACACTGCTCTGCCATGTACAGTACCCACCTGGCATTCACATCACATGATGGGCAACTGTGCCAGAGAATTCAAACATTGGGCAATAGGTTGGGGATTACACTAAGCCCAACTGTATAAAAGGCAAGCATAGGTGTATCACCCTGCTGCATTCAGAAAAGGATGATTTTGTTTTGTTTTCCAAAGTTCAACGTATTGATAAGTGTTCCCAAGAGAGAGTTTCAGGTTTTAGATCCTAACTTGAAAGACCCTAACTGGTATGAAATTATCAGTAGACTCTCATGAAAAAAAAAAAATAGTATCAGCCCCAATTTAACAGCTGAAAGAGGTGTCACTACCCAAAGGGCTCTGAAGCCAAAACTGATGTAGGCAACCAGATCTGGGAGGATGATTGAAATCATACTCATCTTGATATTTTTCTTTCATGGGTTAATATGGACATGTTGCTATTTGTGGTGTTCAAATTGTGCCTGTCGGACTTGTGAAATTCCTTACCTGGGACTGAAATATGTAAAAGTGGGAGGCCTGCAGGTCTCAAAGATACAAAAAATTCTATTAGTTCCTCCTCTGTCTGTTCTGCATCCTCCACTTCGCAGTTAGAATATTCCACCTGCTACTTCCTTTGAAGAAGACCAGAAAAAAGACTAAGGCTAAAACTAAAGCAATTTATACTTCTCTTAGCTTTCTTATTTTGGAATTGATCCATGATGCTTTATGGTACAACATTAGGTTTTAGCTTGAGGTCAAGGCTGACTTCTCTTGTAGATTCCTCTCCTTCTTTAACTAAATGAGTATTCAACTGCATTTGTTCTGACCTTTCATATGTCAGAAATCTACTTGATTTTCTTTAACTATTTTCCCCTTGAGTGTTTTACTTCATTTACTTTTCATAGCTATTTAATTAGCAGTACTACATACAAAAGGTACTGATGACTTTATTAAATGTAACACATGTTAAGCTGCGAGTCATCTAGTTGCTGTTTTGCTGTAGGAAAACAGTAACTACAAATAAGAATATTCACTCATCTGCAATCATTGGATTACATTTTGTTAGTGACTTTTATTATCACTCCTTAATGAGTGCCATTGCTCATTTTGTTCCTACGGGAACTTTTGTGAAGTATATTGGAACACTTTAGGAAATTAATAACATAGCAATGATGAATGAGTAATTTTCCACGCATTTTAAATTCCAGTCTGAGATTGATTAGGCAGTATAGGAAAGGAGTGCTAAAAGAAATGCTGAGAATGGTGTAGTTTGCAGTGTTATGCCAAATCAGCACTCCTTAAAACTTCAAATGGCAGGCTTTGGTCTTTTTTTTTTTTTTTTTTCTCATACAGACTTCTGTTAAACTGAATAATAATTCTTTTACTCATTCACATAATCTAAATGACCATTAAATAAACCAGTCAATAAGAGAGAGAGACGGAGAGAAGGTAAACAAATGTTAGAGCTTTCTCTCTCTCTCTCTTCCTTTTTTAAATAAAAGATACTTAGTTTTATTTGCATTTTGTTAATTAAACACTGATTCTGATAAAGAAAAGCCTTCTATTTTTTTTTCTTTACTTTTTAAGCAATGTGTATCTATAAATTTTTATACTCTCTTCTCTATGGCTTTTTATTTTCTCTCAGATTTATTTTTCTCTTTGATTTTTCCTTCTTTACATATCTCTGTAATGTCTTCTCTTTTGTTCTTTTCATTTTAATTTCACTTTAATTGTGTTTTGTTATTTTTTGTCTTAAAATGTTTGTATCTCCTCCTGAATGACCTTTATCTTTTCTCTCTGTCTTGCATTTGCCTTCCCTCTTTCTTTTTTGTACTCCTTATCACTTGCTTTCTTGTTTCCCCTTTTATTATCCTCAATTAATTCAAATAATAGTAATTCAAGTAACACTAAATCCACTGAGCTCACTCCAAATCTTCCAGTAGCAGTTGTTCTTCAGACATGTATCATGGCCTTATTTCTTCCTGTAGGAGATGTTAGACATGTAGACATTGCTAATTTCGACAATGTGCATTTAAATCAGCTCAAATACTGCTTTTTTTCCCCCCTTAATTATGAAAATTCTAAACCCAAAAACTACTAAAACATTTCTTGTCTTCTAAACCTACTATATACAGTTTTCCTTAAATGTATGTATGTAAGTACTGAAAATTTGTATATTCAGTAAATTTTCTACGGGGATATTCTTCTCTGACTTTTAAATCAATCCATTGTTAATTATTGTTGGCTTATTAATTATTGGCTTATTGTTAATTTTTTTTCACATTTTCCTTAAAAATTGACCGAGGTAATAAAAGAATAGATATCCTTTAGAAGAGTCAAGAACTGCTATAAGATTTTGTTTTACTGGCATATGTAATACTTAGGTAAGAATTTCATAGTGTTAATATAGAAACCATAACCTTGTGATTTTAAAGGCTTTCAAAGCTTTTGAAAGGGCATTTATTTTTTAAAATATTCACATTGGACTACAGTGTACCAGCTTGTTTTTTTTCTGGATGAGTTTTATTTTCTTCCCTAAGATAGAAATCAGCAAATCAGTTTTTCTTATTTCTATTCCTAGGTGCAAAAACACTTCTTTGGTCAGGAAACTATACTGACAATCTAAATCTAAGTAATATCTTAAAAAAAAATGGAAATGAAAAAGCTATTAATCATTTTTGCCATTTCTTGGGAATTATCATCAAATATAGAAATGAATGATAATAATAAAAAAATCAGGGTTCCAAGGCTGTTTGCTGTTTGAATTTGGCTGCTCATTTCAGTCAAGCAGAGTCATATTTTGCCCAGCGTATTCAAGGGGTAGATGAAATATTGCTATTTTGTTTTTTTCTGTAGTCTTTGAAGAATCGGAACAAATAGATGACATCATGATAATCCATGTACTTGTTCAAAAAGAAATTAAATGACCGATATTACAAAGGCAGATTATTACTGAGTTTATAGGTACTAACAGTTATAAAGAAATGTTTAGGGTGTGGAAGAAGATAAACTTGAAAGCAAGACTTTTGTTTCTGACCTACTACAAGTAATCTGGTCACAGTGTCATGTGACTACAATAAAAATAATAGTGATGAATTTCCATTTTAGAAAAACACTTAAAACTCAAGCCTAAAATATATGTCTGCAGCTGATCAGAAAATGTAATCTCTGTTTGTACTAAATACATCCTCAAGAGAATTATCCAGAAGACTAAGTGCTGCACTAAATCACAGCTATTATAGCTATGATTTTAGCTCATCTTGCAATCACAGATAAGAATATGCTAGTGGTACAATCTTCATACAAATTCCAGAAAACAAATAAGGGAAATTATTCCCATTTCACAGATGTTATTACTTTGGCATAAAGCATATTTTCAATGCAGGAAAAATCCCTCAAGTTGAAGAAATTCAAATACACTTTTTCTTAATTTGATGTCTGAATGGATTGAAGGCATGGTTGCCTCTTACACCTGTTGGTAAGTAAGGCTGATGCTTGCAAGACAACATACTCATACCTCAACTAGGTACATCAAAGTTCCATTTTTCCTGTCAATTACACAAAAACAAAGAAGACATGTTTAGAAGTGGAAACACAATCTTGAAGAGCCTGGGTGGCACATCTAAAATAACAGAGGAAAAAAGAAGTGGCAAACCAACATGGAATTCCAGGCTTCTCAGACCAATCTTCCCAAGGTTTTGACTGAGAAATTCACCTTTTCCTTGTTTTAAAACACTAAACGAACATGTCTAGGGGCTGAGAATATTCATAAGTGTCGTGGCATTTGTGCTCCTACATAACCCAATACTTTTTAGGAGTGTAGCCTGAAAAACTGAAAAAGAGCAAGCTTATCAGCAATAGCTGTATTTGCAAATCATTGGATCAGTCTGTTCAAAATTAGGTAACTATTTCAAGATTTCTCTTAAACATTCTAGGCTTGATTTTGCATACATCAAGGTTGTTTCCATGAGCAGCTACAATCCTGATTTTCTACTGCCACACTACAGTTATTGCTTCTTTTATCTGCATTTGCCTCAACAAGGAAGCATACATCTTACTTATGAATTTTATGTTTTCTTAAAATTGCCTGATCTATTATGTAAAAGGACATGTAATACTGTTAGAGCAAAGCGCTGTAATGAGCAAATCTGTCAGTAGTTTTGCTACAGCATAAGGCACCTATCTTTCTGATGTGATAAAATTTGTCCTGCCAAAGGTATTTAAAGAAAGAATTGGTGTGACAAAGACACTTTGTTAACAATGTGAAAAGTTAACATACAGAAAGCTATTTCCAGATAAATCTGGTGCCTTCAGATGTCTCTCATAAGAGGTATGTGTCAAAGAAGTTCTAGTATGTCCAGCTTCTGACTGTCCTGAAGGTAAGGTAGAATTTAGAGTACTGGCTGTATCATTTTAGTACATCTTATTTATCTGATGGTTAAATGAGAGTCTGCTGAAATATATGTAGCGGGCTTTTTAAAAGGTCAGAAGCTTTGGAAGACCTTTGGAAGTTTCTAATAACAGATTAACCACATTAGAATACCTGAATTTACAATAATAAATATTCTTAATTTTTACATATTAAATTCTTCCTTTCCTGCATGGCATACCAGAATGGATGTTACTTTGTTGCCTGGACTAGGATCAGGATTCAGAAAACCTATACAATATGAATTAAGTCCTCTCCAGGACTTTTGAAACACTGGAATGGTTTAAAGTTTTAAGAGTGTGCTGGCAGTAGAAAGTCAGTTTAAAAGCAAGGAATGATACATTAAAATCTAGTACAATCTTCCCTGTGGAAAGATTTGAGCTATTCGGGTCTATCTTTTGCCTCACTGGAAAAAATGAGTTTTAATTTTCAATGACTTTGTTTTACAGGTCATACATATGGGATGGGTAAATGAGAGACTTGAAGGAACTGATTCATCTCAGCTCTACAAATTTAAGTTTCTGGCACTGAAGGGTTCATCCTTCTACATTTTCAGCACTCCACCGGTAAAAAAACAATAAACAAACAAAAACTTGGGAAGAGGGGGAAGGATAATTTCACTGTAGATGGAAATCTATTTGTTATGTATGGGTTTATTTTTTCCTACTAAGCAGAGTTATCAGCTCTGACTTGAAAAGCAGTTAAAACTATAGATGCCACTGTATTTCAATAAGCTTTAGAGAAGTAACCTCTTTCAAGGTCCTCTGAAAATCCTACAATATATGTAGAGCTCAAGGAATTCTTAATAGGGAACATTTGTTTTACTTTTTTAAGTTGATATGTTCAGATTTTTTTTTGTCATTGGTTATAACCAAAATTTCTTGCCTTAAAGACAAGATGTTCATAACATGAAATACAACATCCTTACTAAAGAGTTGTGAATTTTGCATACTAGGGATTGAACTATTACTGAGTGCACTTTGAAAGAGTGACAGGATACTGCTTTATTTCCATAGGATTATATTTTTCAGTAGATGACTTATCTAATACCACTGTAAAACACTAAAAAATAATAATTAAAGAAATGGTGAAAAGAATGCTGAAAAGAGAATTCTAAATTCTTAAAAATGACATGGAAATAACATGTGGGAACTTTACAATGCTTTCTCTCTCCTTCTAAGAGCTACTGTTTTAAATACATCACAAAGAACAAGATATAGAAGTAAAGTATATTTGAAGCTAAACAGGTTTCTTAATTCTTGATCAGAAAGTGGTCAGTCCACTGATTTACTAGAACAAAAGAAAATCTGATCTTTTTATGTATATACCACCTATCCTATTTTTGTGAAATTTTTTACTCTTTGAACTTTGTTTAGAAAGAAGAAATCGATAACATTCTAGACTCAAATTCTAAATCCATTGATCCCTGTTACCTCCTAGCATTTTAAAATGGCCAACTAATAGTACTTTTTTTTAAATGAGAGAACACATCTGTAAAAAGGTTTTTTTTTTCTCTGCAAAAGAATATTCATGCTTATATGTCAAGAGTTAAAATCTTATTCAGCCACTAGAACACAATTACAATGAAAAATAAAACAAAAAATATTAATAAATAAGCATACCAAATTTTCGTGTTTTAATCTCGGTCTTCAGACCTGTTTTTAAAGGAAAATTTTTGATGTAATTAAAACTATCCATCTACGTGATACTAACTGAGGAAAGGCTACTTCATTTCTCATATTCAGCACTCTACTAAGAGCAAGCAAGTAAGGATAAATGTTTGGTAGAATTTTTACCATTTTATTTGTCACTGTTTTGATACCCTACAGTGCTTCTGTGCAAAATATTTGTAGAAACAATATCTTTTCAAAAAAATCAAGAAAGGTATCTCCTTTGGTCATCGTGTTAGGTCATCACACTACTCAGATGCACTTAAGTGTATGACAGAATGCATGAATCCTAAAATCCACTCAGCAGTTTTCCTGATATTTAATCATGCCACAGATATTTTATATCAAGGAATAATATTAAAAATAAATTATTAAAAAAAGAAATAAAGAAAAGGGCGCTTACCGGCAATGACACACATTTAGAGCTCAAACCTGGATCTCGAGCCACACTTCCAAGCTGACTGCATCTGCCTCGTCTGTCTCCATGACCCTGCTGCTCCCTTGGTGCAGGAGGGACGGCCTCACCGGACGGGCCAAGCTCAGCCCTATCCTGTCAGCAGCCCCTGACCCATGAGCCATCCTGATACTGGCTGTGTATTTCATATCTGAGCATGAATAATTTTGTAGCTTCAACCATAACTCCCCTGAAGAAGCCTTACACTAATCTTTAGGTGCTTGCCATTATATTTTATTTCAGATTTGTTTCTCTGATGCTGTCCTATTTGCAATCCAGCACTGTGGTTTACACAAAGCAGATAGTCATATAGCTAGTTTTAAGGACCTTTTCCATAGCTTATAAATGTTCATAAAAACATCTGATATGATTTTTACTCTATTTCTTTGTGTATAAGAGATCATGTGGAGGTGAATACAGTTTCTAACTTCCAGCAGAATTCAAAAAAAATCTTCTTTTTGTTTTTATGTCAATCTGATTAGTTAATTATACACTCCATTACAGAATTCTTATTCACTCACTTCCATATAATAAGTTTGAGAATACATAAATTGTCTAGATCAAGACCTTTCCTAAATAAAGCAAATGAATTTACAATGAAGTTGCAGCTTGAATGCTGAGATTAGATAACTGTAATATCTTTATTGCAGTCTGCTGTGCTTAAGAAGTGTTTTATTGGGGTACTTATTGTATGCAACAATATAAGGACAAATCTTGTCAGATTTAGTGAAGCTGAATTTTCAATTTCTCTTATGGAAAATGGATAAAGATATGTTAGGTGTCGTAAACATTATAGAATAGATAACTCAAGGTAAACACCTCTATCAGTCATTGGCAGTGTAAAGTTTGTCAATTATTCTGTAATCGTGGTTAGCTCTAGGGGATAATTAAGGATTAAAAATGCATGCATTTTTATTACAGCTGACAGAGTCTGAAATAGTGCCCTCTAGATGTTATGATATATATAAAAAAACAGCAAACAGATGTGATTGCAAAGTACAGTCTATAAGTGTTATTATATTGCTTTCACTTACAATGGTATTTACTGTAGACAAATATTTTAGTCCACTTATATCTAAGAATTCTGGGAGATTTTCTTTATTGTAAGATAATTCTGTGTTTCTGAAGAAGCCAGTTTTGTTAAGGAGTGGAAATTTGTCCCAAGATAATTCAGGATAATATGACTTAAAATGTAACATTTTAAATGTAAAAATTCTTAAATAATTATATTAAAAACAAGACATAACTGTATTAAATTCAAATCATTATTTTAAAATTATTATGAAGACTCCATCACTTCATCCTCAAAATTTATTTCTAGGTTATGTAGATGAACAAATAAAAAAAGTACTGATTATAACAGACATAAATAAAATATTTTTTTCTTTGTAGCATTCATTTTGATTTTAAGGCAACATACTAGATATCTAAGAACTAATGCATAATCAGCAACCTATAGCCTGGAAACAGGCTGGAAAACACATTTGATGCATGATGGAGATGTTCATTATCTTCAAGACAAAAAGTCTTCAGGCATAAAAAAAAAATCAGTCAGTTTAAGTTGGGCAGATGATCACCTTGGCTGAAACAACTAGGAAAGTGCAAAGTGAATATGAATTTTACTTGCTACAACAGCAATGATGGCCCTTGAGACAAACTGCCAGCTGTTTTAGAAAGAGTTATATTTGTCTAAGAGCAAGCAAGCTCACCATCTCTCATTTAGACAAGTACATAAATCATGAACTATTATATATAATAGTACATCTAGAACCATATTAAATTACTGATTCTGTGATCATCTGCCTGTACCTTTTTTATATGCCATTAACTGTTATTCCAGCCTCCGCTCATCAGTGGTCATTGGACTCCCCTTTAATTTTCATGTGATTTTCCTGAATAAGTATTACTGATGATTCCTGCTTGTGAAGACTTTTTTCTTATTAGAAGTATTTAACAACTTTCAGCTCATTAATGACTGATGGAAAAGGCTTGATAAAATAATGCAAAATTTCAAAACTGAGGTACAGATTCACTTTTGAATGGAAATTTCAGTGATTTGTAACTTGAAATTGGCAAAATATCTGATGCAGAACATTATATTAATATTATTAGCAGTTATTACTAATATAATCATTGTAATTATTATAATAATAATTACTAATAAGTAACATGTTTGATTATTTGTGTTAAAACAATTCTTAGTAATAATATACTCTCTTTTGACTTTCCCAAGATCTGAGAAAACTCCTAGATCAGATCATTGATCATAGTTCACCTAATGAAGCTCAAACAGTAAGGTTGCTTGACAAAATATTCTTCCTGCATCTCTAAAGTGACTTATCTGATTGTATTTAATAGATTTACAGAACTAATTCACAAATTGCCATATTTGTAATCAGGACACACTTTTGAGACTCTCAAATATGAGAAAACCATATCACAAAAAAAAAACTTTTAGAAATATGTTACTATGCAAGTTTATTTTATTACATTCTTTATTACATACACATCGACTGTATTTCCTTAGTTCTATGTCTATAGTGTAATCCTTTAATGTTATCACTGAGTAAGTATAAAGGTCTATTTTGTTGGGTAACATTACAGAATTCTCTTTTAAGGAATATCTGTTGTTCAGTTTGTTGTTTGACACATGCATACAGTAGGTATGCCTGTGCCGAAATGATTTTAATTGTTAGCTTTCTCCCATTCTAAAATCTTAACTATGTTTAAAGAAAAATCAATGAATTGTGTGCCCATTTAGAGTTAAGCATATTTTGAATGTGAGCATTCCTCTGAACTGATGTTGAAATTACTTGGTGAAAATTCTTTTAAAAAAGAAGGCTTGAACAGTGTAGTCTGCTAAATCCATTAGAATGCCATGCAAAACAGTGAGTTTGCAGAAACTCACACTGAGGTTTAACACCTGTTAAACACCTAGTACTTTTGAAACATAGGTCTGTTATTTCAGTATCTCATCATGGATTTAGAATTGTAATTTCAGGTTATATATTAGTTCATATAACTTTTTGAGATATTTTTTCAAATTCTTTATTAAAATGTAAATATCTTGTCATTTTAAAATATTTTCAAAATGATGCAATGTATGGAATATTTAGATTAATAATTCAAAGAAAACCAATATTGAGAAAAAACAGCTTTATTGCTTAAGGAATATATTTCAATACCTTGTTTATCTTAGACCTATTTATTAAATGTGCTATGATGGATATACTCGTGTTTGTTAATATGAGACATAATTTACAACATATTGTACTTTTGTGAACTCTACTGGTTCTTCCAGCTTTTCTCATGGACTACAAATATATGATCACTTGGCGATATTTCTAAAGCAATGCTATGACAATTTAAACTTAGACATTCTCAGAGAAAACTATAAATAATGACAATTTCCCCTGTGGATTCCAGTATCCCTTTGTATTGTGTTTGTTTCCCTTCCTTAAAATCCATCAAAATGTCATTTGTGTTCTCCTGATGACCTTGCACGCTATGATTTTGAGACTGTTTCACTCTTGGCTATAATATGGTAGTTTTTCCTTGATATACACTGTAAAAAGAAAGACTTGGCTTATATAGGTGTTGATTGTGATCTATCTGCCCTTGCTATCTCCGCACAAAATGTTATAAGAGGTTACAGAGAGTCAAAGGATGAGAGAGATCTACAGAATAATGGGGAGAATTCTAAAGTATTCATAGTGAATTTAATGGCACAGCAGTAGTACCGTTATCCATGGCAGCATTGTTAATAGTAGCAAAAACAACCCTAGCCGTTTAGATTAGTCTTCAAGAATCAAAACAGAAAATAGGAGCAAATGAAAATTCAGTTGTCTGAACAGCTTTTAAGTTACACCCTCTGCCATTAAGTTCACTTTCATAAGTGAAAGTAAGTGGGTGCTTCTGCTTTTTGTCCTGTCTACTCACTAACAGGAATGGAAGATTCTTGTACTTTTAGCTGAGAATAGAAAGATTTTTTTCCTTCCAGAAACTCAAGACCAAATATTGAACTAACAGTCAATCTGCTATAAATCTTGGTTTGTAAGATGCATTAAGATCCTTTGAGAGTGAACAATAATAGTCCAGAACATGTTATCTTTAATTGGTTTATCTTCAAAATGATTATCAAAGAAAAAAAAGACTTCCCTTTAAACAAGGACCAAAGAAAGACCTACAATACCTAGTCCAATGTCAGGATGTTTGAATGTATAGTATTCCCTTATGAATCTGTCATAATTCCTCAGTTCCAGTTGTTTCTAATCTTGTGTTATTACCAACTCCTAACAATAATTAAAAATTCAAATTTAAATAAAATATGGATTGCACCTCACTAGAAAGGAAAGAGTAACAGAAGTTTTTACATAGTAATGTCTGACTCCAAAAATTACTGCACTTTGTAGTTTAAAGTTAGTTTTGTAAAGCAGCTGACATTATTATATTTAAATCTGACTAGATTTTAGCTACACATCTAATCAAAAGTATTTATCAAATTCTACATCCACTAACAGAAAATAAAAAGCATTTCCACAACCTGTATGTCTAAATTCTATGGCAAGGATGTAAGAAACCACTGTTTTGCTTTTTTTTTCCCAAATATGAGGGACTTAAAAATAGATTTATGAAGAATTAAATCAGATGATTGTTAATATTAGACACTTCCGATACTTACATTTAAGTAAGATGCTTTGCATGCTATGAAGAAAAATCTTAGGTAAATTCTGGAATACTGTTTTTAAACTCATATCTGTGATAAAAAAGTATGGAGCAATAATATCAGTTAGTAGGTATTAATCTGTATATTAGTTTTGACAACTCTGAATTTTGGAAAGTTCTTTGTGTTAGCATATTATAAAACAGGTATGATTATATACCTCACCATAGAGATTTGAAAGAGGTTTCCGTTTCCATTATCAATAATAGAAAATATGCAATTAATTAATTCATTATGTAATGCTTTAATTTTACTAAGAATCCTGTAGGTTCTGCTTATTTAAAAATAAAATGCTATTTGATAGTCTTTTTTTAAATGCTAGATATTAAGTGTAGTAACATTTGAATATTTTTATAGTATCCAGTAGAATAATCATTAGTGAAATCTTTTTAACTTTTCATCTTTTCATAATTTTTATAGAAATATGCAAAGAAAAATATGTTTTTAATATTTTCTTTTAATATTTCAGGTAAGCACACTAGACTGGGTACGAGCTGAAAAAATCTATAACCTCTGTGAGGTTCTTTTTAAAATTCACAAGGTAGGTTTCCCCAAACTTAACAATTTTACTATTTAGTAACAAGAATTTGCTTCTTAAGGCTAATGGTGATGTTCATTTTAACTGTTGGTAGCTAATATTCAAACAGCTTGTCTGAATAAAGCCTACTCTTAAATAGCATCTATTGCAGTATCTATGTAAGTGGAAGAGACTATGGCAAATGGATTAGGTTCCAAGTGAGCAACTTACTAAAATACTTCCAAATTGAAGACATTTTTCACTATTACATCTAGCCATGTGAATTATGAATGAAACGAACAGCTATTCATCAGCTGGATATTGCATTTCTCTTTAGTGAATCAGATTTTTAGGTGACTGTGACCAAAAAAAAAAAGAAAAAAAAAGTGCTTTTTTTGTAATGTTGATATATGTAAAGGTACTTTTATTAAATTCACATAATAAGGAGTATAAAATTCTGTCTTTGTTAGATTGTAAATGTCTAACACTATACCAGGCTTTATCTTATAAAGGAAAACATGGTGCTTTCATGTATTTTAGCTTTTTTTTTTCACAATCTAGAGACATTATTATACTTTATTTCTTTAACATGTTATGAGGAATATTTTCTGGCAAAACATCAGCAGTCTCTTTATAGAATTGACTTGTGAAAGAATATTTTCCATTAGGTAGATAGAGCTAGCTCTTTACCAGTTAATCAGAAACTGCTTTGCAGATTAGAGAAATAACCTGATCATCATCCTTTTAGAAAGGGAAACACAAGCACACGTATGTTGAGTACACTTGTAGAGGCCTGAAAGACTGAAAGTGGAGCCAGAAGATGACTGTAATTCACCTGAGACCCTGAACTGCACTCTAATTGTGAAATTATGCTTTCCTTCACTGCATTTTCCAGCTGTGAAGTTAATGCAGGATGATGCCCAAAAAGACAGTAATGGTTGCAGTTTGTGGCCATCCAAATCAGAAGTTAGACAGAAAAAAACTCGTACTTATCTCTCTCACAATCTGTGTGAGTACTTTAACTTAGGCTATTTGTTCTTAGAATTATACCAAGAAAAGCCATTCTAAGAGATATATCTTAAAAAAAAAAGGCAGAAAAAAAAAGTTTTCCAATACTTTAGTCTTTTTTTTGTCTTGAAATGTCATTTAATTGAAAAATTCTAAACCAGCTAAAAACGATTCTGATCAGCTGCTGATCCTTTCTGTGTTCCGATCATGTTGATCATGTGCGAATGTTGCAGATGTTATGTATGTCTATTATCTGTACGTGGCTGCAGAAGGAGAACAGTAGCTTGGTGACTTAAGTTCCATTACTGTAAGGGAATGCTAGTTACGGGTGCTTCTCTGATACAATGCAGTTATTTTTTGGGACATGTTACAATAATGAACTGATAATAATGTGCAATACTCCTTTTCCGCCCATCTCAGAGTGGAGTTCTCTGTTGCAGTAAATGACCAAATTCTTTAAAGAACTGGGTCATAAGTATGGACAGGTGCAATATTTTGACTACTCAAACTATTTCTCCCAAACTGGCTTTCAGCAGCATAAGCATACTTCCTACACTTGATTTACTGATAATGCCTTAAGAGGAAAGAAAAAGAAAAAAAAAAAAAAAAGAGAGAGAGATTAAAAAAAAAACAAACTTCAAAACAAGTTACAACTTACAGAGCAATGAATACATAAGCTGACAGAAAATACAATATTCTAAAATACATGCTGATGTCTGTATTTTACATAGGTGTCATATTACCTCCAATTGACAACTAAGGGAGACTTATCATTTGCCAATTTTGTTGTTATGAAGGAAAAGCTCAGTATCTCCAGGCCTTCAGCCAGGGTGAGGAGATTCCTTCACTGCCCATCACTGCAGCAAAGGGCAGAGTTATTGATTTTATTTCCTTAAAATTTTATTAAATTTGTATTTTTTCAGATAAATAAATTGGGCAGCAGTGAAGGGGATACTCGTTAAGCCATTTGAGAAAGGTTTGGTGGACATTGTTTTTATTTTCTGTCCTGTAAATGACTGACTATTGATTTCATTCTCAATCCTTCCTTTAATATTCCGGTAAGGTTAATTTCAGGGACATCACAGGAATTTGCTTGAAGTAAATTCTGTAGTACATTCTCAGTAAGAAAAATAAGTGGGAAGTACATCACATTACACTACATTAAGTTCAACACTTAATGTTATTGACGTTTTAAATGAATGTTTAATTACGAATCTTCATTAATATATTAGCTAAATTACAAAACCTCCAAGTCAACACCTAAATCTCTTTTCTGTTGATTCTTTAGTATATGTGATAAATGAAGGAAATCATGTGAATCAATAAATGTGGACACAATTCTTAAGATATTAAAGCTTCTACATTGCAGACCAAAAGATTTGTGTTGTGTGTTTTTGTGAGCCTTTTTAAAGGTTTTCAGAAGCTAGCTAGAACTGCCGTAAGGCCATAGTTGAGAATACTGTGTCATCTGGGTTCTTAAGAAAGGTGGTTTAAGGCAAGGTCACTTGTTCCAAATCTGACTGTAAACTTCTCACATGTGTTGATTATGACATAAGAGTTAAAAATGGAAAATAAGAACTCAATATGGAATCTAAAAATTAGATTTTAGCATAACACATTTGCTATGTTTTAGGTTTGTGTGTGTTTACATACATATATATATTCACATGTGTAAATACAAGCATACATGTAATAATACATGAATGTTCATATTTCACATTCTTACACTTGAATATACATGAACATTTAGTGCTAACATCCAGATGATTGAGAATATGATCTTATTTACCACAGCAAGATAGGATTATCAGTATTATCAGCATGATAGTGCAGATCTTTTAGTCATCACCTGGAATCATGGATGAATTTTTAAGAATCTTCTCCCATGGTCCTCTGGAAAAAACAATAACATTCAATATGCTACATAGAAAGTGGAGTTCTTAGAAGTTATGATGCCATCTTCCCCACTATCATATCCCCACTATTTCTCCAAAAGCCTTTGTTCCCTCTTCTGTTGGGAGATTTAGAGAACTTCATGTTGGTAAAGTCAGATAACTTCTTCCTGGTCTTCTTCCTCATTATCCCTTCCTTCTCACCTTCATTTCTTTAAACTCCTTTTAAATTACAACGTATGTGTTGCTTAGATTAACCACATTTTCAGTCTACAGAATTAGCTCAGGTTGCATGATACAGGTTAAAGTGAATAAAAATAAAAAGTAAAAGATAATTTGTATTTGAAAACATTACTTAATTCTCAAAGCATTGCTTCATAATAATATGACAACATAACTGTCTGACACTGAATACCTGTCATGAGCAGAAGATAATGTTACCTTAACTGCTTGTTTTTGCTAGATGAAAAATCACATACTGAAACATGTTTTTCAGCTCTGGCTTGCTGATGATTGCTGGCTACAAGCAAATTTGTATTTAGGTATTCATCAAGACTATGATTTTGAAGACCAGAGGCCATATTGTTTCAGTGTTCTGGTTGGACATGGCAAGAGTCATTATTTCAATGTAGAGCTTGGCAATGAGTTGGCAGTGTGGGAGAAATCATTTCAAAGAGCAATTTTCTTGGAAGTTCAAAGAATAGGGGTAAGTAATGAATAATTAAAATCCTGGAACCATTTAAACAGTAAAATAATTCTGTAAGAAATTTTAGCAAAGTTACTGCCTATGCTTAATAATTGTATGAAATTAATATGTACTATGAGTAATGATCTGAGTATATTGTAATATACCAAAGGCTTCTGAAAGCTTAACCATCACATAAGTATTTGTCTATCTATGACTGTGTGATAACAACGGACAAATATTCACTTGTGCAATGTTTTTGGTCATTTGAATTCAGTGATCTGCTAGCCCAATATAGCACAAAAGATATTAACATTTCTTCCAATCATGACTTGTCCTTTGTGAAGCCTCCAGCTGAGTCATTCAATTAAAGTTCTGGAAGTAAACCTTGAGTTTCTATGTATGTGCTCCTATATCTGTCAGTCAGTTTCATACGTTCAAGTTTGCTATAAACCATTATGCGGGTAGGGTACAAAGTGCGGTGGTTACTCTTTAGCAGCAAAAAGTCTTTCTGATTCCACTATTTACTTTCTTCCTTCAAAACATAAACGCTGCTTTTCATGTCTGTCTTTTCCTTAAAAGTTTCTATCCTAACACTGTTTATGTTTTGTGTTCAATGGTGCTTTTGAAGTTCATTTCTCATGATGTATGTGTTGCTTTATTTTTGTATAAGAAATGTATACTTTTCTTATGACAATGGTAGCAGTGGTTAAGTGGCACAAAAATGCAGAAAACAAAGAAAAAAATCCCCTTCTAATATGATTCTCCTTTCAGCTGTCTTAAAGTATGTTTCAAAGCTGCAAATGCTTATAAGAGGAACATACCAAGAACTGTGAAATTCAGTATAGCTAATGAAGTGAATCTATTTACAACTAATGATACAAGCAAACTTACATTAAATGCAGAAAATATACTGTTATTGTTGATAGCATAATTTGGGCTGATAGGGGTATTAAAAAGGCAGAAAGGCAGTCCAAAGGCAGAAAAATGTTCTTCAAAAGTATTTTCAAGAGGTGATAAAACCATTGTGATGGGTGAATTAACTTTCCTCAATCACAGTAATAAAGTCAGTTATCTTCCACAAATATCTGCAAGTCTCTCTGTTTTGGCAAAAATGTTCTAAGTTGTTGTAAGACCGATTCATGATGCTCAAAGTCTTTTTTTATTATTATTATTTTTAAGTGCAGATAGTCTTCAAAACTGTCTTAGAGCAAAAGTGTAATGTTTCTTTTACAGATATCATGCTGCTACTTTGACTTGCACAGTTCTACTCTATGTCTTTTCATCATTGTCCTTTTCAGCAGCATTCTTCCTACTCCTTAATCTGTTCTTTATTCCTTATTCTTTAGCATAGGAAATTTTGAGTAGCTTCGGAAAGAAATAAAATTAACTTGTAGATTTGGGATTTTATTCTCAGTCCTCTGTAGGTATCAATAATTGCTTTTCAAAATTAGGAGCTAGATGAAGTGATTCCACTAAATAAAAATCCAAATAGTTTCTAAACTTTCCAATGAATAGCAATGCAATCTTTTACCCAGTTCTTCTCTGATCTTCTTCAATTTTAGACTATTCATGTATTTTAAAATTCTTTTTTTTTAGATTGTAATGATTCCATTCAAAATTAAATTATGTAAAAAACAGGATTTGAGTACTAATAACAGTTGCTACTAATTGCTAAATAATTGCAGTATAAAAATCCATTATAAATAAATCACAGTATTGCTGGACTCAAATATTTGTAATTAGAAAGGTATCGGAAAGCAAATTAACACTGCTTTATAGAAAAACAGTTTTTTATCCCAACTAGTTTGAGGTCTTTTAGCATCATTGCATTCCACTGCAGAGTGGCCCAGATGCAAGAAGATGTGGAAAGGCTCCATGTGAAACTATTTCACAATGTGTGTTTGTTGCCAAGTCCAATTGAAGATTTCAGGATTAAAGGAACCCAAAGAAAAGGAAACTTGCAATGTTCTGCAGCCCTGCAGCCTACTGTTAGTTTAATTCTCCTTCCTCCACACAAGGTTTTTGCTAGCCATTCTCCAAGGTCACCTGGAATTGATCTTGATACAACCCAAGTTACAGAAAGTCAGAATAAACTTAAGGCATGAACTCAGAGGCAGAGAATAGGTATCTCCTTGCTCATCTTTGTATCTCAGCTAATCTAAATCTTCCAAGAACTAGAAAGACTTTGAGTGTCTGAGCAATTCTTCAGCAATTCTTCACACACATAGTTTGTTTCTGATCATCTTTAGGAATTGGATAGTGCTTGAGAAAAAGGAGTTTGAATCACACTCTGAGTTTCATCAAGAAATTAAAAAAAAAGGGCAGAAATAAGGCAGTCTGAGAAAGAAGTAATTTTCTTTTCTAGCTTATGAATTTATTAATTCTTCATGGTAAACTAAGACGAATAAAACAGGATTGTTGGATGTGATGCTTCTGAGTATCAAGTAATAAATTTAAAATGCAAAAATATTCAATAAAGTTGTCAAATATTATCTTAATTTTATGTTCTGTGATGAGACATAAGTATATATCAATCAAAATTATATAGAGAGATTCTTTTAATAATGGAAAGACCATCATATTCCAATTTTAGAACATACTGCATTTTAATTTCTGAAGCAAACAAATAAACAGAATATCCTCTTTAAATTCAGGTCAGATGTTAAGTAGCATTTAGATTAGATTAGATTTATAGGATCATTAAAAGATACTTATCAGTTTACTACCAGAAGCACTCAGTTTAATTACACAATTAAGTTTTAGACTGTTTTAATTATGTAAGGAAGCTTATTACAATTCCTATTTAACTGGTCATCTTTTGAAATGCCATTACATTTTAATTAATTTTCATGTGAAAGAAAAAAAAAACTTCTCCCAAAAGTCAGATCTTTAAAACTGTATGGATTAATTGTATGTGTTTAACATTTGTAATAACAATTAATTCAGCAAATGTGATACAGAGGAAGAATAAAGTGGTGCACCTATTAATGCTGTAAGAAATCTTGTGCATTCATAAGAATTAAATAACATTCTCAAAATATATATTCTGTTATTTATGTACTCATATTTTTAACATGATTAATATACAGTGTTAATTTTTAGGAAGATATTTCAATATTTCTAAGAATCTGAGTATATTCTTAAAATTATGAATTATGCAAATCAAAAGGCTAAATCTAATTGAGACTGAGAGATCTGGGCCTGTTCATCCTGAAGAAAAGAAGGCTGAGGGGGGATCTAATCAGTGTAATTGTTAAATATGTTATGAATATATTCATATTTATTTAAATACAAAGCTTTAGAGAAAAACCATGTGGTTTGAGTGTGTTTTTGTTATTTTTCAGAAAATGTTGTATTCTTGTATAAGTATGAAGCTACTAAAGCTGTGAGAAAGTTACTCAAATGGAATGGCAGATTTACAGAGAAATTTGACCATTAAATTTTGCCATCTTTCCATTTTTAAAAGTGTATAGGTCTCTGTTATTCCCTCTCTGTGATTATTTCTGTAATAATCGGTCACAAAAGAAAACCCCAGTCCAAAGAACCTTTATCCAGAACTGAATATTGTACTTGGAAATATCTCTTGTTGATATTTCTAATTAAATCCTGTTTCTAATTAAATCCTTTCTCAAGAGCAAAATCTGCAGTAGCGTCATCCCAACTTTATAAATTACTGATAAAGAAAAACCCTTTATTATATAATAAAGAACTTTCTCGAAAACAAGTCCGTGCCTCTGCTGAAGTACCTCAGTAGGATTCTACTGACATGAATGATGCCAGCCTGATTACTCTGTGAATGCACTTCAGATATGTGGAAATACACTCTAGAGATAGGAAAATATTAAACAGTACACTGTTGTACTTTGGTTTTCTTTCTGGAAAAAAAAAAGGTTGCTACAAATTCAAAATTGTTGCTTAGGCGCAAAGATGAGGAAGAAAAATCTTTTGCTAGTGCTAATTTAATCTTAAGAATACCGTTTAATTTTCCCCTGTGACTTTTCGTCCTATTTCCATTGCTCATATTGACTTCTACTAGCTACTTATTCCATAGCAAGTCATTTTTGTTCTGTTCGTTTACATTAGCCTTAGTTTTCCTTTACACAAAGAATGCAATAGGCAGTATGCAGAACCATATCTGCACTGTTGACCATTCTTGCCAGGCAGTTCAGTTCTAGCTGAGTCAATGACCCAATTTTTCCTATAGAGAAACATTTCCTTGTAGAGAAACATTTGGTTCCAGACTTCAAGTCCATGCAATCCTAGTCTCTCAGTCACAATGGTTTAACACTCTGACCAGAGGTAACACTGTGATCACATAATGTTCACCATTCTGTAACTTTTTAATTGTGACATGATGAATTTCTAAAAGGTATGACCAAGTGAGGGGATATGGCACATTTTTCTAAGTGAAGATATCATATATTCATGCACATGAACACAAATTATTTCATTGGTACCTTTGCAAAGTTGTATGGAACAGACTTAAATCTGGTATCTGAAAGTATCATCAAATTTTTCCACATACCAGAAAACCAAAATATATGCATTTATAATTCAACTATATTGGGATTTAAGAAAGTTTAAGAAGCACTTCCATTCAGCACTAGTAATTCTATATAAAAAAATAATGTTGAAGAAAATGTTGTAGACTGTCTTTAGAATTAAGGGTTTTAATTTTGTATGCTTTCTTGTAAACTCTCGAGGGTGTACTAGGTGTGGGCTGAGATGTGTTTCCCTGTACAGTCGTAACAATTGTATGTTCTTATCATCATTTTCACTTCCTCCTCAGAGCTTTTGTTTACTAAAAGTAGAATTTCAGAAAGGTTTGTTCTTGGCCTAGCCTGTCCCATACTAAAGCTTTTAGAAAACTCTCTGTATTGATAAATACTTTGCAATTTACTCTGAAGCCTCACTCCTGTATGGTATATTGGGGCTGCCAAAAAAAGAATAAAAAAAAACACAGAGGCATTGATATGTCACATGTTATGTTGTTTTACTTGCGATTTTATAAAGTCTAT